TCCCAAAATAACTGAAGCACCACTTGAACACCATTGGCATTGACAAATTCGCTATTAGTCAATTGCAAAAGGCGGCCTTACTAAGAACTGCTTCCATCCTGCAACAATATCTGTAATACCATCAAACATCCATATCTGCCTATCCCAGGTCCTGGGTAAGGACTCGATAGGTAGACAAAATGCCAAATCCAGTCTGAACATCTGACTGACTGTGCGATGATTAATAATAATAATAATAATAATAATAATAATAATAATAGTAGTAGTAATAATAGTAATAATAATAATAATAATAAAGTTGGAAGGGATCTTGGAGGTCATCAAGTCCAACCCCCTGCTCAGGCAGGTAACCCTATACCATTTTGGACAAATGGCTGTCCAGTTTCTTCTTAAAAACTTCCACTTCTGGAGGCAGGTTGTTCCACTGGTTAATTGTTCTAACTATCAGGAAGTTTATTCTTAGTTCTAGGTTGCTTCTCTCTTTGGTTAGTTTCCATCCATTGCTTCTTGTCCTGCCTTCAGGTGCTTTGGAAAATAGCTTGACTCCCTCTTCTTTGTTGCAGCCCCTGAGATATTGGAACACTGCTATCATGTCCCCCCTCGTCCTTCTCTTCATTAAACTAGACCAGTGGTGCTGAACCTATGGCATGGGTGCCAGAAGCGGCACTCAGAGCCCTCTCTGTGGGCACGCGTGCCATTGCCCCAGTCTCCCCTTATCCTTCTCTTCATTAAACTAGACATACCCAATTCCAGCAACCATTCCTTATATGTTTTAGCCTCCAGTCCCCTAATCATCTTTGTTGCTCTTCTCTGTACTCTTTCTAGAGTCTCAACATCTTTTTTACATCGTGGTGACCAAAACTGGATGCAGTATTCCAAGTGTGGCCTTACCAAGGCATTGAAGAGTGGTATTAATACTTCACGTGATCTTGATTCTATCCCTCTGTTAATGCAGCCTAGCACTGTGTTGGCTTTTTTGGCAGCTGCAGCACACTGCTGGCTCATATTTAGGTGACTGTCCACTAGGACTCTGAGATCCCTCTCACAGTTACTACTATTGAGCAAGGTACCCCCTATACTATACCTGTACATTTGGTTTTTCTTGCCTAAATGTAGAATCTTCCTTTTTTCACCATTGAATTTCATTTTGTTAGATAGCGCCCAGTGTTCAAGCCTGTCCAGATCTTCCTGTATTCCAAGCCTGTCTTTTGGAGTGTTGGCTATTCCTGCCAGTTTGGTGCCATCTGCAAACATCACTTAATCTAAAAACACACTAAATGAATTTTTGTATGAGGTGCTGGTGATATTTTGGCTGATATTATTGAGGCAACCTAGGTTTAAGTGTTTAAATATTACTAGGCTGTTTTATTATTTATGCATATTTATGCAAATATGTACATGTTTATGTATGTCAGTAAACAATATAGGATGGATTTTAAATATTTTAATTAAAAACAATAACTGGTTCCAAGATGTTTGGGGATGGGAATTCTTGCCGTATCTATCTATCTATCTATCTATCTATCTATCTATCTATCTATCTATCTATCTATCTATCTATTATAAAAATTCCAACTCTTTATAGTCAGATGTTAATGCAGTGGTCTAATTATAGAATTTGCCATTTGAAATATTTTCCTTTTCAATAAAGACATTTGAATAAGGTTTTGCTTTTGGTATTAAGTCCATGGAGGAATGTTGCTGGTGGTCACTTAACACTTCCAAATGGGAAATCTTTGAATCATTTTACTGGAAGTTTTAATGACAAGGCATACCAAGCTAATTACCCCAGCTAATTAGAATGGGTCCTTGATATTGATGAGTTAAATAGAAGGCACGCTTCATAGTTATGTTTTCTCTACTTTGATTCTCACAAATGAGTAACAGCAGCTTCAAAATAAGGCGCCATTGGTGGCATCATAGGCTGAACTTTCAAAATTTTAAGGACACGGAAGTGGCAGTGGAACCAGAGTGGGGAAGTGATCCACTCTGGTTGTGGGTAATGATTTAGTCTGCAACCAACATTGTGCAGGATTGCGTGCCTAGAAATTCATCATCTTCACTATAAACCTTCGAATTTGATGTGGTGGAAGGTTTCTTTCTAGGTGAATTCAAGTTTAATATCCTTTAGAACTTAGGAATAAATATCAAAGGATCTGGAATTCTGGGTGTGGGAGGACAGGGCTGGGCTGCACATTCAATAAAAGACTATAGCAGTGAAGGAAAAAAATCACTTTAAATTAATTTTTCAGGACTGGATTGCTTAATATATTTTAATTAATCCTGTGGACCAGATAAGACAAAACAAAATTCCTTCTGTAGTGAGCCATAATTTCATTATTCGTCTCCTTCTTCTTCTTCCATGTCTAGGTCGAACTTTAAACTGCCAGAATGAAGCCACCTTCCTGGCTTTGTCATTGGCCAAAAATAAGTAGTGGCTAAGTGCTTGCTCTTGCTGTTATCAGTACTTGTTTCTGGTAGGAACCAATATACCAGCAGATGGGCCAGGCTGTAAACCTCTCCACATTCACACAGTGTGTTGCTATCTGCCAAGCACCTCCATTTGACTATATTATTTCACTATGGAAGAGCACCATATGTAGGCATTCACTCACCAGTGGGAATCATCAATTGGTGGATGTAATAGAATGGGTGAATGGCCTTGGGCAGTGTTTCCCAAACTTGACAATTTTAAGGCATGAGGACTTCAACTCCCAGAATTCCACAGCCAGCGTTGCTGGCTGTGGAATTCTGGGAGTTGAAGTCCTCATGCCTTAAAATTGTCAAGTTTGGGAAACACTGGCCTTGGGGGAAAAGAGGGAAAGAGGTGCTGCCTAGGAAACAATCTGACAAGAGATGGAGCAGCCCTCAAGAGCTTAAGGGGCAGAGAAAGAAACATAGGAAGGACCTCCCCTAATAGGTCCGATGGTTAAAAGTGATGGTGGAACATTCAAAAGGTTTTTAAAAGGGAAATTAAATTTACTCCCCAATTATTTCTTTTGGGAATTTTTGTGGATTTTGATGTTAAAGAAACTATTTTAATGCTGAATTTAATACAGCAGCAAGACTATTGGTGGGTCAGTATTGGAAAAAAGATTCTCTGCCTTCTTTAGAAGAATGGGTATTCAAGGTTTCTAACTTAGCAGAAATGGCAAAAATTTCTGCTTACTTAAAGGACCATTCACAAAAGAGATATGTTTCTGTATGGAGAAGATGGATAGAATATATTCAGAAGTGTGGAACAACAAAGTTTCATTTATTTTATGAATAATGGATTTTTATTAAATTATGAATTCAAGTTTGCAGAGAGTTAAGAGTTATTAGGATTCCGGTTATTGTATAAATAGTAAATTTAAGTTGACTATGTTTAGTTTTCTTTTTTTTCTTTTCTTCTTTTTTTTGTAACCCTGTCCTGAGCTCTGGGAAGTTGGGGGGGGAAGGGGGAGGGGGAGGGGAGAGTATGGGTAGTATGTTCAATGGTTCAGATTTTGGTGATAGAGGATTGCTCGGGCATTTTCCCTCAGACCGCATCCGATTGAGAAGAAGAGGAGAGAGACAAGTAAGTAGAAAGATGGAGGAGAGAGAGAGGAGAGGAGAGGAGGAGGTAGAAGGAAGGGGGAAGTGAAGAGATGAGTGGCGGACACGGTCTGGGGGGAAATGGGTGAGCAATGTCGGAATTTGTGTGTTGTATTTTAACTTCTTATGTATCTGAATTTTTTTTCTTATGATTGTAATGAAAATAAAATAATAAAAATTTAAAAAGTGATGGTGGGAAGTTGGTTCCTTCAGACCTGGAATGTTCTATCAATGTAGCCTTGCAATAAAGTAGATTTAGCTCCTCTAGTCATGTTTCCGGTCTGGTTTACTGGGGAGGGCCAATAATGGATTTTGAAAGACATTTCCCTTATTTTCAATGCTCCAGATGCTGCCTCTTACTGATCTTATAGAAGAGGCAGGAAACTTTCCAATGTGATTATATTCCAATTCCCAAACATGTTAGCCATCATTTATTTATTTATTTATGAGACTTATATACCGCTTTAAGTGCAAGCACTCTCTAAGCGGTGTACACCAGTAAGCAATGTATATATATATATTACATTGCCCCCAACAATCTGGGTCCTCATTTTACCTACCCCGGAAGGAGGGAAGGCTGAGTCAACCTTGAGCCGGTGAGATTTGAACCGCTGACCTGCTGAACACAGTCAGCTAAAGTGGCCTGCAGTACTGCACCCTAACTGCTGCGCCACCTCGGCTCTTATCATAATTACAGATGGACATTTGTGGCTCTTATTTTGGCTGTGTCGTGTGGGGGAATTCAATTATGCTTGGAAGAGTTAGCAGTAAAAGGAAACCAAATGGCCAAAGAACACAGTGGCTGGACATCATCAAAACTGACAACAGCCAGAGCATAGAACAACTCAAAAAATAGTGCAAGATCTGAAGATAACGAGACTGAAGAGACCAGGTCCATAGAATTGCCGAGGGTCAGAGATGACTGAATGGATATCATCATCATCATCATCATCATCATCATCTGTGGCTCAACAACCATTTGGAGGGTAAAGAGATCTCCTTACAATTTCTGCAAGTTCATTCATTGAACTTATTTACCTTTTAATTCCTTTTCTTAAAGTCTATTTCTTTGTTAAAAAAAATAAAAAAACCTACAGAATACCAGGATTTTTTTTATTATTATTATTGAGAAATATGGCTTGGTTCAACTCTAGAAAGTGGTTTTGTTTTCGAATGGAATGTCATCACTTGATCATAGCCAGCAGATAGTCTTTGAAGAAAAGATTTCAGAGGTTCACACTGTCAGGAAAACACTAAACTTCATAAGAGCAAGCTATGTTGTCAGGCTGTCAACAGTCAAAGCTTGGACAGATTTGTTATAAAGGACAGTATTATATTTCATTTTGAGCAGTCATCTTTATGTGTTCAAATGATGAACTGCACACATGGAAAACAGACCCAACCTCTAATGTAAATAGGTTTATTTATATGTAGACAGCATGATATGTACACATGGGAACCACTGTGCTCCTGAAATACTAAGCCATAATTTCATATATCAGTCAAGAGCAGTTTGACTATACAGCTGTTCCAGTATAGCAGGTGTGCTGAGGACCAAGTGTGTTATCTATAGATATCTTCTTGGTATCCTTCAGTCTTGAAAATGTACAGTTTGAAAAACAATATTCAATTCTAACTTCCCAATTTATTCGCCTTGTAGAAATAGGAACTTATCCCATGGTGCCATGCAGTCCTGATGCTCCTGTCTCCAAAGTCCTGTGCCAAGAAGCCAAATATTTCCTTCTTGGAGGCACCAAATTTAAACGAAAGGGGGAAGGGAACCCTCAAAAGACATTTTTGACACACTTCCACTGATTGAACTCAGTGCTTTTCTTCAGTTTGGAGAGACCAAGTTTGGGGAACAATGAGAACAATAAGAACCACATTAATCATAAAAGTATAAATAACACACACAAACAAGCTTGTGGATGTTCTTCTCTTTCCCCAGGTCCAAATGCTGTCTGAGCAGCTGAATTGCAGTGCTTCCTCATGCAGGAGCTAATAGCAGCTTCTGTGTATTTTGCAAAACAAACAAAAACAAGATATAAACTAAAAAAACAACCCACATGTATCACCAACGGGCCCTGGGCAAGTGTCTCTATTGACTAGCTCGGTCTGTAGCTAGGAAAAAACTGTGCTGCTTCTGAGCTTGTTCCATTAAATTCTTTTTCTTCTTCTTCTTATCCTTTTTCTTCGGTGTCCTCTTTCCTAAATAAAAAAAAAGCAAATTATATCATTTTAGTCAATGTATATCATCTGCATAACAATGCATCATGCAAATGACATAAATCACTGTGATTACACACTCTCATTTACAAGACACTTGTGAATAATAGATATGCCCTCCCCGATTAATATATAGAGCAAGATACAGCTAAAAGATTGGCAATAATTTTATTTTTAATCACTGGCTAATCCCAGGCTAATTTTTTGGGTTTTCCAACTGAACTGGTAGAGCTATCTACATCAAATTTATTCAGAAAGACTTTCACAGTTTTTATTATTATATTACCTGTGCCTATAGCCACTTGCAAAGCAACTAACTCACAATCTTTTGTGATGTACAGAGATTCACTGGTCCAGAGAAGAGTTATTCTGTTCTTATAGTTGTTATTTAGCAGGTACTCAACAGCTGAATCCCACCCCACCCCCAAAAAAATACATTCTAAAATTTGTCCTCGGTAGCTGGACAATATTTTAAAATATTCTATGTCAACTAATTGCTGGATTCCATCCTCTAAGAATATGTTACTTACTTAAGTTCATTTTTGTTGTTGTTGTTGCCTCGAAACTATGTGTGCTTGTGCCCACCATGCTGGCCACTGATTTTACCTTTGTTCCTTTCAAAAAAGCACTGTGTGATATAGTAAGGTTTAGTGTTCACCTGTCTCAACTATTTGAGAATTCAGGTTTTATAGTTTCAATTATGACTAGAAGCCTGGCAACCAAATGTGTTGAATGTTGACTATATTAACATCTATGTCAATAGTTTTACTTACAGTCCATATACTGTATATTTATTTTGTATTGTTTTGGTTGTTTGTTTAATGTTTTTATGATATATGCCCCATAGTGTCATTGGTTGAAATGGATAGCTATATAAATTAAATGTACAAAAAAACTATCAAAGCCCTTGAGAGTCAGACAGGCATAGTCAGAAAAGAGTTAGAGTACACAGAATTTTACACCATTCCATGTGATATTTCACAGGACTCAATACAAGTTAAATCTATAAACTACCTAACCTAAAGCAAGATCAAATAAATAAATAAAACAATTAAAGTTTATATTAAAATGCATCCGATGAATAGCCACACTGCCATTGTTTTTTAAAGAAAAAATGTATTATGTGTTGAACAAATTTTAAAATGAGGTGCTCTAACCAAAAAAAAAAAAAAAATCAGTTCTCTGGTCCATGGAAAAAACTTTATTCACGGAACCAGTTCCTGGTGCCCAAAAGGTTGGGGACATCTGGTCTAGAAAACCAACTGATTTAATGTTGCTTGTATCTTAAATTCCAGAATTTTGTGCATGGGAAAAAGAAATCTTCTGTCGAATAGCCAATGCAATGATAAATTCTCACTGGGGAACTCTCTTTTTATATTGCAGCCTCTTAACTTAATAAAGCAGGAAGTTCAAACTGAGGTGCATTTGCAGTTAGAAGCATTATAATGTCATTTTCACGTCATCTGTCTGAAAATTAAATCAAACTGCCCAGTAATGTTTTTGAGAATATATAATATCTCTACTTTACTCTAAGAGCATTGAAATGCAATAGAATCACTGATCATTCTTAGCAACAAACTGAAAACATCATTTAAAAGACTGGTTATATAAATGCAGATCAGAAACGGTGGTCCACAGGAGAACCTGACACTATCCTACAACATACTTACTGTAGCTATATTATTCAATAATTCAATCAGTCCTCCTTATTAGTGGTTCTGGCAACACACAACCTTGATAGGTGAATCACAATGTGGGAAAATACATACTGTAGACCCCACCCATTCTCTCCAGAAATCCCTGGTACAACAGCAAATTATGGATAAAGCTTTGCTACACTTCTATTTATTTTCCCATTGGCCAGGAAAGCAACTAGAATAGTTTACTGTTGTAGGCAGTTTGGGAGATGAGCTATTTTAGATGCTTGCCCTTCCCTTCTCTTCCCTTCCTCTCTTCCTTCCTTCCTTCCTTGATTTATAACTGCACTGTAGTTTGGCAACTACAGTTTCATAGAATATACTTTTTAGCCACCGGAGGGCACTATGTATTCACATTTATTTTATTCTGAAATTCAGGAAGATAATCTGCCAATGTATGCAAGGAATCAATTTAATAGCATTTATCCAATTTTAAATAGAAATTGTTTGGATTTCTGCATCATTTGGGCAGTTCCTGTGCAAATTGTTTTCCTGCTATATTAAAAACAGCTCGGCCAAATTTTACTGAGTTTCAGAACATTTTGCGTTAGCAAAAGAAATGAAAAAGCACTTTTAAATCTCCTATAGAAAATAAGATGATTTGAATATCTTGATTGTCCCCCACAGTACTGTTATCAGACCATTTATCTTTTTTATGCTCTCATGTCTTTCCCGTTTTCTTTCTCCCTTCAACAAAAATCACAGATGGCAAAAACACAGAATATTTTTTATCCAGTTTTCAATCATGTTCACCTATCAGTTACCAATCAATTCTTTCCTTCCCTCTTATTCCACCACTATTAAATATGTTCAAGATTATGACAAAAAACTCTGAGAGCCAAAGGGATGCCTACTAAAATATGCTAAACTTCAAAGGTAGTAATCTTATTTGTTCAGAAACCATGCTGATTCTTCAAGGCCTAGAAAACATCAACAGTGCTAGTAGGAAGAGCAAATGAGAGCATACCTCGCTTCCTACTAGCACTGATGATGTTACTAGTTTGGTAATGAAGCATCTGCACGAAAATAACCAAGCTCAGAGAGCACCAAGGACTCTGCAGTTCAACCCTAAACTACAAATATCCTCTTCTACCAAGCTGATTCTTCTCCAGGACTATTTGCTCTTCTCAAGTTCATTATAATAACTTTTTCCACCCATTTTTCCAGAACAGCTGCTTAATCAACTAGCCTTTCATTTCCTTGATATGCCTGGAATCTTTGGCTGATCAGCCATTTTTAGCAGGAAGTTACACAGTGTACATTTGTTAATAGATTAACAATTTTCACATTTGAGAATTGCTGGATGCATGTATCCTGGAAGACAAGACTTTTAGAACAGGGTTCTATCTTTCTTCTATTCCCTTCTTTGTGAGCCATCAGTGTTCTGCCATTTGGGTCTCATGTATATTTAGAAGAGAAAGAGGGAGTATTTACAGGACTAAATAAGAGGGATTTCTTTTGCAAATATTGGGTTTTCTCAGGATGTAAAGCAATTATATATAATGATGTTAGAAATAAATCATTTCTGAATCAACCAATCATGAGTGGCACAATGAAAGGCAGAGTCATTTCTAATCTCAATAAATCCAGTAGCTGACCTAAGGATATATTTTTCTCCTGTTGGATTTATTCATGATTATGATTATTATTACAAGCTCAAGTAGGAATAAAAACCATACGCAAAATTCCTAAAAGGCAAACTTGTCTTCCTTTGATGGCTTGACTCTATCCCGGCTGCAAAACTGAAGACCGGTTAGGTGGACTGCTCTCATTCTATCAAGCAGTGTACCAAGTAGTTTCATTGCTAGTTCTACCTGTTTAATATGTATTATTTCAGAAATATTTTCATCTGTGTACTGATGCTCATCAATAACTTGATTTAGTTAAGAGGTAATCAGCCTATATTTCTTTGCGTCATCAGTTCTCCAGCAGTCTTCCATTTCCATGGCTTCCCATGTTTCCATGAAAACATCAGGAAGAACTCTTTCCACCAAGAATTTTCAGTAGCTGTTGCTGCTTAAAGAAGCAGTGCCTTTGCGAGTGTGTGTTGGAAAACACAGCTGTCACATGGATACATTCAAATAAACTGTTCAGCCACCTTGTCTTTCCATATCTTTGATGAACAATTTTGAAATGCCATATATGTCTATTTCCAATCAAGAACCTCAAATACACAGACAGAATAGAATGTATGGGCAGAAAACAAGGACATGTTTAATTTACTGTAGTAATCAATACATTATGTGCTTCTAAATGGCTGGGGCATTGTTACTGGAATGGGTGTTTGCTAGGGCATTTTCAGAGCAGTATATATTGGCCCTTAATTAAAAACTGCGGTTGAAAAATCAATACTCTGATGAATATGTGTCTTATTCTTTTTAAGAGTGAATGCATAATAATAAACTATTATAATAACTATTATAATTATAAGCCATTAAAAGACCAGCATAAATGTAAGCACTCCCAGAGTGTTGCATGATAAAATTAGAAAGTACAATCTAATTCAGAGTCATTTAGATGAGATGTTTAGCATATAAATTTAATAAATTAATTAAGATCATAATGAAGCATAAACATTCAAATTTTACAATCACATAATAAGGTCTTAGAATGGTAAGACACCCAAACTGGCAGTGATTTGCTAAAATATCTTGCCAAACAAAAGAAATCTTATCCTATTAACTCTAACCCAATAATTGTCTAAGTTAAGAGATACGGAAGAGAAACCTTTGCTCCTTGAAGTAAACTTAGTCTAAAGGGAACATTTTTGGAGTAAGATACATCTTAATGAATTTAAGCTAGGTTTTGCCCTAACACTGGATTAGTCCAGATGTGCTGGAGTTCAAATATTGATAGCCACAAAATGATGGCAACAATAACATATTCAGAAAACACTAATTTAGAGAAGGCTGGCTGATGGTATAAGTGGTAAAAGCTGTGCAGAAGAAAAAATTATTAGAGATCTTAAAGTAATCTTCAGAGATATCATATTTTCAAAGGACACTCAATGATTTCTATGTTCAACATTCCCACACTTACTAATTGCCTAACTTTAAAACATTGCTTTTAGTTCCTATGTGTTAAATTGATATTCCCACCAAACAGTAGATCATACATAGTTCCTTAAGTGCAATTATACTACAAAGTCATACAGAACTTCAGTGAAGGTCAATAAAATCAAGGATGGAGATGAAAGAGCTGCCACACCATGAAAGGGTTTATTAGTCCATTTTGGATCATTACCTCTAGAAAACTACTGTGGGGAATAAGTGGGTTGTTCAAACA